ATAAAATATTTATGATAAAAAATTGTTTTGACATTTATAACTTAATTTTTCATCTTTGTTATTTATCCTTTATCATGATTTAAAAATTATTGTAAAGGGAAAAAGAGATACAAAATTGTATTCTTTCCTTCCTTTTGACAATGACAAAGGGGGAGATAGCTAGCTTACGCAAGTCTAGGAAGATGCAAAAACTTGCTTACTTGCTTGCACATCTAAAGAGAAGATGCAAACGTACTTCATGTAGCTTGCTTCATGTAAAACATTGTATCTTGCTAGCTTGTTATCTTGCATTATTTTTTAAAAACTTGCTAGCCTTCATACTTCAAAGAGAAGTAACACTTGCCAAATTGCTAGCTTGAATGTTGTAAAATAATGTAAAATTTTGCTAACTTACACTTTACAAAGGAAGCAAAAATGATACTTCTCAAAAGAGAAGAAAGAGCTTGCTATCTTGAACATCACTATCTTGCCAATCTCAAGAAGCAAAACTTGCAACTTGCACATTGTAATAGGAAGCAAGAATCGCTAGCTTACACACTTCAACAAGAAAGCTATCTTGTATTTTCTTTCGAAATTTTTGATAGCTTGTATGTTGTAAACTTGCTACCTTACTACCTTGCATATCTAAAACTTGATAGCTTGCATAATGTAACACTTGCTAAATTTTCTAGCTTATAAATTGTATGATGATAAAACTTGATATTATATTTTTTATGCAATGATTTGAACTTTGGATGTCTAAAAACACTTGCTAGTTGCACTTCTCCTTTTCGTTGATGACAAAGGGGGAGAAGTATGATGCTATGCATAAGTTTATGATAACATGTTACTTGGATTTTTGAATCCAAGAGTCTCTATCAATATGGCATATTGATAGGGGGAGTTTGTTTAAACTCCGTCATCAATTGGTTATCATCATCAAAAAGGGGAAGATTATTGAATCTCAAATTTTGATAATAAAATCAATTCATAAGTATTTATGAATTGATTTGTGTTTTGAGTGACGATGGATGCTTCGATTAGGATGAGACAATTAAAGCAGGAAGAATCATGTTGGGCCGGTGGAACATGTCAGAAGATTGGACGTTAAGCCGGAGGATCGATCGAAGTATCGACAGAAGGCTTCGGGCCATGGATTTGGACATTAGACCAAGAAGAGCAGATATTGCACCAAGAATATCGGAGTTGCGGAGTCAATTGGCCGATTGGGCAATAGGCCGCAAGAGAGGACGATGCGCCGAAGAATCGGACAAAACGTCGATGGACCAATGACATACCGGATAACATGATTCAAACTTAATAATAATTGTTTAGATCGAAGTGTGTTTTTACATATGTAGGATTAACTACAATAGCAAGACATAAAGCAAAATGAAGTCCCGGAGTCAAAAACATGATTTCGTTGGGAGTTTGAGAGTTCATCGGAAGTCCAGATGTTCGTTGGAAGTTCCGCCGAAACCAACCGAGAAGTCCACGAGCTTGCTAAAGAAGCTTGTCAGAACTCGCCAAGAAGATCATCGTGAAGTCCAGGAGCTTGCCGAGAGTCCGTCGGAACATTGCCGAGAGATCGTCGGAAGTTCGCCGGAAGCTCGCCGGAAGAAACTAAACTTACGGACTTGTTTAGCTCAAGAAATGTCTTAGAATTCGTAGTTAACACATAATTGGGATTGAAATTGGGCCAACCCAATTAGGGGCTAGTTGGGCCCATGTAAGAACTATGTTGGGCCCAATGAAAAGGCTCAAACAGTGACCTAAGAGGTGGCACTATCGTGGCATAGTCTCTGAGACTGTGTCAGGCGGTGGTACCACCCAGACATAGCCTTCGAGAGGCTATAGCAGTGATACTATTAGTCTGGGCAATGATACTGCCCAGCACAACCTCCCAGGCAGTGGTACCGTCCAATGCAGTGTTAGTGTCAAACTGACACTAGTGGTGGTACCGCCCAGCATAGGCGGTGGTACCGCTCGAACCTAGGAAACCCAAGATTAGATGTTTTTAGGCTCCAAGTTTGAATCAACTTGAGGCCTATAAATACCCCTCTCATCCCTGGTTAAACTACACAAGACTTGAGAGTAAAAATAGAAAGAAACGCTGTTGCAATCTTGTGTGAACTCCTCTCAAAAGTTCTAAGTGTTAGAATAGTTTGAGAGAGGAGTCAGTGGGGGTGTAAAGGTTATCTCCTAAACCCGATAAAAGGAGAATCGAGTTGTAAAAGGTGGTTAGTCTTCGCTTATTGAAGGAAGATCGATAGTGGATGTCGGTGGCTTCGACGGAAGAGGAATCGATAGAGTGGATGTAGGTCACGACGACCGAACCACGTAAAAATCTGGTTTACTTTACTTTGAGTAATTTACTTTAAACTACAAACTGCCTTCTCATTACTTGCTACGCTCTTCTTATTGCTTTCAAAGTTAAGCATTTCCGAAATCGGTTTTATCGTACGAAATGAAGAAATTTTCGTAACCGACGTGATTTTTATCGCTGCACTAATTCACCCCCCCCTCTTAGTGCTGACTCTTTTCCTAATATGAGTATGGGCGGTACCACTACCTAGATCGACGATACCACCACCTGACATAGTCTCGAAGACTATGCCACCGACGGTTCCACCTGTTGGGTCACTATTTGGGCCTTTCACTTGGCCCAACATAACCCAAACATGGGCTTAATTGGCCCCTAATTGAGTTGGCTCAGTTCCAACCCAATTACGTCTAAAACCTACTTCGATCTATACAATTATTATAAAGCTAAATCAAATGTTGTCTGGCATGTCATTGGTTCATCGACGCTTCGTTTGAATCTTCGATGCATCGTCCTCTCTTGCAACCTATTGCCCAATCGGCTAGTTGACCTCTACAACTCCGATTTCCTTAGCGTAATTTTCACTTCTCTTGGCCCGATGCCCGAACCCATGACCCAAAGCCTTCTATCGATACGTCGATCGATCATCCGGCTCGACGTCCAATCTTTTGACATATTCCACTTCGACCCAACATGATTCTTCCTGCTTTAATTGTCTCTATATGATCGAAGCTTCCTACGTCACTCAATGCGAATATCAGATCATAAACATATCAATTGGTTTTATCATCAAAATTCGAGATTCAATATCCAATCGAAAGGAGCCCTTATTAAACATAAGTATGTTATGTTTATCGTTAACAGAAAAAATTAAAAAATAAAATTACAAAGGAAAAAAATAAAAAAGAATTTTTTTGCCAAATTTTGAATGTAATATAATCATGATTTAAAAATAGTTTAAGTGGAAAGCTGAAAAGGTTTTGGCATAAATCATTTTAAAAAATATTAGGTGATGAATTTGAGAGTCAAGTAGAATTAAAGAAAATTTTGGAATAATTAGATACCATGTTCATAAAACTTATGTTTAAAAAATATCATAAACGTGGAATATTAATTTAATTATAGACACAGTTTTTACATATTTGTGTTAGTACTATCCATAAATGCTTTTCAAGCCTTTATCATAATATCATATTAAATGTAAGATTATTCGGTCAATGAATGTTGTTGCCTTGATTCCATTACCATTTTGAAAATTTATCATACGATTTTTATTGGTCATTATAATAAATATATTTCAATCCTATTAGTTTTTAATATAATATTAATTTATAATTTTGATTTGGAAATCATTTATCTTTTTAAAATCATATGAATTTAATTATGTTTACTATCGCTATTTCTTATATTTTTATTATTTTTAATTTGTGATATTTATTCTTTTATCTTAAAATCAATTTTATGATTTTTGGTTCCAGTGGGCTAATAATTTTTTACTTTGAATCAATTTTGAACCAAATCTAAAAGTGAAACAAACAATGAACGGGAATAATCTGACGTATCAGAGGAATTTTGATTTTTTTTTTTTAAGGATAAGTGGTGAAATCGAAAGGGGGATTTTTCTTTAAAAAAAACCTTCTTTTTTGTGTTTCCCATCCCAAATGGTGCCTCTAATTGAATATGACTTAAAATACCTCTCACCAACTCGAATGATACTTTTCATACTAATTTTTTTCATTAATTTTTTTTGTCAGCCTTAAACCAATTATAGTATTTTTATTTGGCTCATTTATAGTATTTTTTAATGACATTATAATATTTTTATTAAGGTGATGAAAATATTATAAGGTAATTAAAAAAATACTACAAGTGATATTATATTGTGTCTTTTTAATTATCATTACTTGTGAACTATAATGATATTATATTTTTAAGTTGGTAGTTGGTTTAGTTGAGGTTAGGAGTCCATTACAATGTTTTGAAGTAGGTTTTATAGTATTATTTTTTGTGGTGGCAAAATCACTATAGCAGACAAATTTTTTATTCCTATTTAAATGATATTTTTTCCTAAGTTATTATAAATAATATTTGAATCTTAATATATTAAATAGATTCTAGTATGTTTTGATTTTATTTTTGCTCATTTATAGTGCTTTTCAATAATAATATTATTATTTGTGTTGAGAAAATAAAAATATTATAAAATTATTAAAAAATACTGTAAGCGATATGATATTGTCTCTTTGGTTGTCATTGTTAACAAACCATCATAGTATTAAATTTTTAGCCTTAGAATTGATTTAGTTGAGATTATAAGTTTATTTGTATTATTTATATTTTTAAGTAAACTTTAGTTTTTGTGTAGCTAAAAAAAAATCCATTGGAGTTGGTGAGTTTAATTATTATTTTCAATATAAACACAATTTAATAAAAACAGAGATATTTTAGAAAAAAAGAGAGAAAAAAAAGAGCTTTTTTAAGAAAATCGCCCAATCAAAATTTGATTCAAGATCTTGCTATTATTATAGGAAGATATAGTAAAAAGAAAATGATCTTATAAATAAAATGAAGCGAAAAATAAAAAATGCATTTTACCCGAAAATAAAAGGGAAAAAAACAACATGTGGGTATTTTCCAATGAGAAATTTTCCATAGCTCCAACGGTAAAAAAAATGTTGGACCGTCGGAACCGGTTATGTGGGTGGTGGCCGACACCCGATACTGGCTGTGCACAGCCAGGGGGATGAGTCATGAGCGGTAGCGGGAAGCGAAAGCGAGACGACGGCGAAGAGGCGGGGATGGAGGCGATCGTGTGGCAAACCCCAGCCAATCCTCCCGAGCCCCGCGATTACATCTTCCGCAACGGTAAACCTTAATCCCCATCTTCACCTAAACCCTAATCTGGCTTTTCTTTCTCTCTTCTTTTTCTCTCTTGCTGAAATAGCCAACTTAATAAAATGGCGAACTACGTTCCAGGAAGGCGGTACGTGAGGCCCTACTACTTCGAGTTCATCTCCCACGTAATCAGATTGATTCCTGTCCCCTTTTGTTTGCTTCGTTCATGTCGATGTTTCATGCGAGTTTGCGTTGACGTCTATGTTTATGTAGGCTAAGAAAAGATGGGCCGGAAAGACCATTGTTGATCTTTTCGCCGAAGAGTTCAAAGGACGTTCTTATGACTACTATGTAAGAGTGACGCTTCCTTTTTCCTTCTTCGCCCTTTCCCAGTTCTAGTCTTGTTGATTACGAAAAGTTCGATCTTTTTGTGCTCTCGTGCTTGGAAAGGCACTGCCTTTCGGATTTGACTGGAAAATTTATGTTTTCCCTCTTCTTTTTCATTTGTTGATTAGGCTTCGTTGCTTTCTTTTGTGGAGCTTGATTAGTTTGGACTTAATTTTTGGTTGGTTGAGTGTGTGCTGTGCTCTCTGCTATTTTCTTAGGTTCTCTGTTGCTTTTGGTAGGTCAGTGCTGTGAGGTGTGGAAGAATCCGAGTGGATGACAAGATGGTTCACACATCATATGTTGTTCAGTCATCTCAAAAGATCAGCCACTTTCTTCATAGGTGTGCCTGCTTGGTAGTAGTTTAAAGAACATACTTATTTTCCTTAATTGTTCATGCCTCATTTTCTCGTTGCATTTTATTTTGGTCACATTGTCTAGAGGCTAAAAGAAAGGAGAGGAGCAATTCACAGTGAGCTTCACTTTTTTACTTATGAATGAGGTGAAAAAGGTGCTGCAGAATCAATTCCCAGTAAAAGAAAAAAAAAAAAACAATTGGAAGTGCAATAGTCAGCAAAAAATAGGAGAAATAATGAGACAATAAAAGCAAGCAAATCAAGTTATGTGCTTAGAAGATATTGCAATCATATTCTATGACCAATTTCCCTTGATTTAAGATGAATGCTTTGTACTGATCATAACTTTGATACAATATGATGGTTTAGGCTGCACTGTATGATAAGCTTCAATAGTCAGTTTTGGGGCTGATTTTCACCTAGACTAACAGAAAGTTAGAACTGGAAGAGATGTAAAAATAATTGAGACAGAAGGAGATAAAAAGATGAGATAGGTTTGGCAGTGCAAAGGCTTAGTATTAAACTCTTTGTCATGGGTTGCTTTTTTGTCTTGTTAGTTGCTCCAAGAAGAAGCTCAACATTTTGTTTTGTCATATTTTCACAAACTAGCATTTAGAGAGAGAATTTACTCATGTAGGCATGAACCACCAGTATTGGCTGGAGATGTGTTGGTCCTGCAGAATGAAGCTGATATATTGACAGTCTACAAGCCAGCATCTGTTCCTGTAAGTATGTCTGGTGCTGCAAACTTTTCTTGATGAAAATTTTTTAACACAATGTGTCAGCATTGTGATAGATAGTTTTCCAACATTTTCCCTGTGTAGTCCTTTTATATGAATTATCTTACTGTACCTATATAGGATAATATTTTCCACCCTATTTTATTTTAGAGCAATTAATTATTTGGTCTTGTGTTCTAATGTAATATAAATATGAGTTTACTTATATGAATCTGAGGTGTAGTTAGGAGAGATAAAGCAAAAGATATACATGATATGCCTGTAATCAATTATAAATTCTCTGTTAAAGATGCATCCATGAATCATAACTGTCATGAGATCCAGATGCTTTATTGGCACGATCAATCTTTGCCTCTGCATATTGCGGCAAGGGTCTGTTTTCATCATTTATCACCTTGTTTTCTACTAATGGAGGTGTCAGAATATCATGAGCTATTTCGATTTATCTTCCAAAAGTTCTGCTTCTTATTAATAACGAATAAAGCAATTGCAAAAATTGCATTTCCGAAGTTATCATATAAAGTTAAATACAATTAATTATTTGCTCTTGTTTTTAAAAAGTTTCTAGGTGCTTCGAACAATATTATTTGTAAGTTTATTTACCTAAATTGTAGGTGTAGATAGGAGGAATGAAACAAAATATATGAATGACATGAATGATAGGCTTGTTGTAAAAGTATAAAGTCTCAGTTAAAGTTGCATTTATGACTCAGAAATGTCACAGAAACTAGATGCTTTATTGGAGTTATCTTCCTAAAGTTCTGCTTATTGATTACCAATAGTTTGACTGCCAAAACAATTGCAGGAAATTTATTTCTGAAGGTGATTATGTGCAGGTGCATCCATGTGGTCAATATCGCAAGAACACTGTTGTTGGCATTCTGCAGGCTGAGCATGGTTTGGCACCTTTATACCGTATCCTGTAATTGAAGATTTTATATTGTTTCTGTGTACAAATTTGATTTGCAATCCTCTTCAGTGTTGTATATAGCTCCATGGTTATGTTATTTTTGTGAGCTAATTCTATATTTCTGTCTTCCTTGACTTGCTAACTTATTTTGACAGCTGTGCATCGGCTAGATCGTCTTGTTTCTGGTCTTCTTATCTTTGCAAAAAGTGCTGACAAAGCAGACTTCTTAAGACAGCAGGTGCTCTGTAGAGCTTTATTGTTTTCTTTAATGATTATTAGAAAAAAAACACAACTTCTTATCTTTGGAGTTGTGACATAAATTAGAATTTGAACTATTTAATGTTCTTTTACCTATGAAGCACAGGTTCCTTGAAATGCTTCCGTTGTTTGTCTCATGACTTCGATACTGACATTTGTGAAATACTTTCTGACACATGCTGGGTAGTTCAGAACATACCGCTTGTGTATATGTAGGACATGTGAATCTTTTGCATAAGGTTTTAGAAAGTGTTGAATGTATGCGTGCAACTTGGACTTTTGAACTTGCTAATTGATGCTGTCTGTTATGATGCTCAACCTTATCATCTTTCCTAACATACCTGACATGGCATGGGCGCTGGTGTTGGATTTGCATCAAACTCAGCTGATAATCATATCGAGTCATCCAAAAATGGGTCAACTATGTTAATTAAGGCCAAGATATTTTAATTCTGGTCAATGTCGTGCAAGTCAATAATGAGAAGAAGATGATACACAGCAGGCAGCAGTGGTCGGGTCTTGCAACAGTGCCTTGGCCCTCTGCCTTTGCTGTGCTGCTATCACTGTCACTTTGTTGTCTCCACCATTGATTTGTGCAGTCGACCATTGTTATTGCAGCCGTAACCAGAGAGAGAGAGAGGTGACTGCAATAAATTTGTGAATAGGTGACTGCAATTATTTGTACCTCAGGGACATAAAGATATTTGAAATCTGATGAGGTCCCATCCAAGATATCTTCTAAACTGTATCTTACAATATGCATCTTGGTTGTCCATTGAAAAAAATAGATAACAAGCCATGAGAAGAGAAAAGGAAACAAAAGAGGAGATACAAGAGAAGAAAAATTAGAAACAATAAAAAGCATATGCTATGTTTAGATTAAAGTACTGTAACTTCAGAAATATTCAAATATATTTAAAAAATAGCAAAATATTTTTCATAATTTTAAGTGTTCTAGTAATTGTATATGATCATTTTATATTCTCTAAATATTTTAAAACATATAATTCTATACATTTTAATTTGGTCTTATTTTGGTCTATATCTTAAATTTGAACTTCTTTAATTGTATTTTTGCATGCTTAATTACAATGATAGTCATGTCAGACATTGAGATCTCTTAACTATATGACACTTGTATCTGAGTTTTGGCAAAATAGGTTATATGTTTGTGTCTGAAGTTTTATTAACAACTGCTACTTCTAATAAGTTCCCTATATGATGCTTATAGATTGTTTATGTAATAGAAAGCACAAAATCATATTAGCATATGAAAATATAGACATATTTACCATGTTGTATGCTACTTATGTAAGATGTCATTGTAGGTATATCTGTTTTAGTTGTCCCATGTTTGTATGTGTGTTATATATCCTCTTATCTTTCTTGTTTACTTGTATATGTATCATATCAACTATTTATTCCAAGTTCAGTACTTGTATGTTCATAACTAATTGAACTCTAGAGTTAGTGTTCAAACTTATATTATCACTTAATCAGTTAGACAATCAACTAAGCAACTTCCAAACAGAAATATCAATTATGTTTCAACAGGCCAGGCTTAACCTCTTTCTGCACTATCACATTGGCCCATGGATGTGTTATTTTTAGTTGCCTGATATGTAATTTGGGTGCCATTAACATGTTTTCAAACCATTTCTGAGAGTTCTCTACTCTGAAATTGAAAGGCTAGCTTTCAATTGGGCTCAGCTACATTTCACCTTTAAATTTTCTTTACTATTTAGATGGTGTTTGGGACTTCTAGCAAAGGTTGATAGTCAAAATTGTTTTTTTGCAGGTTTTGGATCTAACATGTATTTCACCTTTATTATGCAGATATTTGTATACATGCTGGAAAGTACTTGCAGATTATGTTTCACAATTTTCCTCCTTGAATGCTTTGCTTTTGCATTTTGACTGTTGAGTTCCTTTTTTCATTTCTAGGTCTCATATAAGCATCCATGTGAGTTTGGTTGGTTTTTGGACCTAACAGGATGATATTGAAGTTATTATGAATGATTAAGATGTTAAAAATCAAACTAATTATCCTCGCTGGGAGCATTATTTTCTAATAGCCAACTTCCCTTTTTTTCCCTTGAGGTGTGACAAAAGATTCCATGTGACTTTGGGATTTCCTAACCTAACATGATGATGGTGAAGTTATTATGCATGAATAGTCAGGCTAATTCCTTAAGTTTTTCTTAGGTGGAATATGTAACCTAATCTTGTTATCATTTTTTCCATCATAATCAACTCTTAATTGATATGAAATTACAAACTAGGCATTGTTAAGAACATGTTGCCACCTTTATTTAAAATGTTTCTCTCTTTTAATATTTAACAGTGTTGATTCTGCTGCAGGTTGAGGCTGGGTTGCTGCAAAAAGAGTATATTGCTAAGGTTATTGGGGTATTTCCTGAGAAAGAGGTACCTAATACTTTACTATCAAAATGAGATACCATTATTGACATTGACAACTTAGGTCACAATCCTCTGCTTCATCAAGGGTGTTAGGATATAACCTTTTCTTTTCTTATTATCAGATGCCTGTTGCTTGAATCTAATGTGTTCTCTATTAATGTGATTTCCAATATTTTATGATGTATTAAGTAACTATAGTTCCCTTTTAGTTTTTCTAGATAACCACCTTATAGAAGTAGATTTCTTTTAAGTTTTTTTACCCAGTTTTAGTGAGATCTTTACTTCCAGCCCAGGTTGATGGGGTATTTCATGGATGAATTTGTTTACACCTACAATATGTGTATGCATCACAATCTTATGTTACACATTGAAGGTGACTTTTTTGCAAATGACTGGTCACTGCAAACTACAAATGTTCTGCAAACAGTCAGAAAGTAAAAGTAGGCCGCAGGGGTCATATCCCCTGCTCTTATATCATGATGTCATGGTTACACATGAGTTAGTGTATTATAAGAATGATGGGTGTGTTTATTGAATATTTCTGCATAAAAATGCAGGGCCAATTAATTGCACAAACATTTTGCAAGGGTCATTTTCTAAAGTTTAACTAGAAGAAGGTGGCTGGCATCATGTTCCCTATTCTGTATCATGTTGAACTGCATATGATTGTCAACATGTTATATTTTGGGCCTTCCAATGCTTTGATTGACAGAACTGGTCTTGACTCGACTCTAACTTAAACATTGGTTTCTGTTTCTTTTTGCATTGTAAGTAGCTTGATAAGCTTGAAAGCCTCAACCAAATATAATTGAATTACCTTAGAGAAAGGATTTTGTACTTCGATGATTTCTTATATAAGGACCCTTCATTATAGGAATAGGAATCCTTAGTTGCTATCCTTTTTATGTCATTAGTACCAATATTCACTTTTTAATTGGATCTTTTTTTTTCTCTTCCAGGTAGTTATTGATGCAAATATTTGCTATAACGCACGTGAAGGGAGGAGCTTTGTGGAGGTATGGAAATATTATTTTCTGTATAATAGTTTTGTTTGAACCTGTACATTCTTTTTGTTTGATCTGATGTCCATCGAATTCTGTGCTGTAGTGCACATTCACTGAATCACTGGTCATTGTAAGCTCTTTGTTTGTGTTTCTTTTGATTGCTAAGACCATATAGTTTTTGACGTAGTAAAATACTTCCAAATTGATTTTTTACAGTAGCAGTTAATAGATAATTAAATAATTATCTACTTAACTTAATTAGACAATTAAATAAACAAATAAACTCAATATATTGAATACTAAGATTATTTATCAGTTTGTTCATCTTTATTAGTCCTTAATAAAACGAATAAAAGCAATTGAGATGCATTTTGCTAGCATTGTTGATTGTGCACAAAGTGTTTGTTATTGTTTTCATAGAAACATGAAATGTAAACAAAAAAGATGTGGGTTCTTTTTCATTAGAGTCAAGTCAAAAAAGTGGATATGCAATCCAATTTTTTAAGCAAGAATATTGGTATGGATATAACTGACACACGTGTTTAAGGTTAAAGTGAAACTTTCTATAATGGGGTATAACAAGGAGAATGCAGAAGATAGCCATGGAGAGGATAGCAATGGAGAAGATGGCTAGACAAAGGAGAGCAATCAAAGGAAGAGTGGATCAAAGGGAGACCTCGTCAGAGAGAAGAGCAATCGATGGTAGAAGAGTGGCTGAAGGAAGATAAATAGAGTGTGAGAGAAGACCAAAGAGAAAGGGGTGATTGGAGGAAGAGGAGGCGGAGATAGAACCTTTGAGAGGAGGGGTGGAGAGAGAATGGTAGCTGGAGGGAGATGAAGTAGAGAGAGGGAAACAAGAGCGGAGGGGATGGAGAGAGAAGAGTGGTCGAATGGAGAGAAGACGGACAAAGGACATTGGAGATGAGGGGCAGGAAAGGTGGTGGTCAGAGGGAGAGGAGGGGTGGAGAGGATGGACAGCTGGAGGGAGATGCAGAAGTGGAGAGGTGGGGATACAGGAGAGGAGGGCGTGGAGAGGAGACAAGAGGGAGATGAGGGGCAGAGAGGACGGGGAAGGGGTGGAAAGAGGGTGGTTGGATGAAAATGGCACTTCCTTTCTCCCCCCAATTCTAATTTGAAATTGACATATATATGCTCCAAATAATAAGAAATGTTTAAGTGGAGGGTATCTTAGTAATCTTTATCATGCTGTCAAAATGGAGCAAATTTATTTAACTTGGCCGGCTTGAGCAAAATTATCCAAGAATGGGGTGGGCCAGCTTGTCCATTTGGCTCTTTTAATGAAATCGATGCAATAAGTGGACTGGACCAGTCAGTGGTCTGGTTCTAAGTTTTCTATTACGTTTCTAGCCACACTTTTTGTACTTTTGTATCTTTTATAGTTTCTAGATTTTGCCTCGTGAATGATCGTTCAGTGATCTGGTTTCGCTTTCATTTTAACTAAAACAGTGCCATTGTTAATAGAAATTTCAAATGTCGTAATATTCTATTGTGCAGATTAATGACAGTTGCATCGATAAAGCCTTCAAAGGAAAGACTGCATGCACAAAGTTTACTCGGATTAATACCAATGGAAAGTACAGTCTAGTTTTGTGTAAACCGGTCACCGGACGTACTCATCAGGTACAGGGTGTTTTGTTCAATGAATTGGATTTTCTTCTCATTGATAACTGAAATCTGGTATATGTATACCTTTCTGGATGCTATTTAAAGAAGTTTCTTATCATTCCCACAAGCATGATTTTTTGTTCTTTCTTTTGTGGCTGATAATTTTGTAAAAAACTTGTTATGAGAATATTATGTAGCTATTTGATATTCTCCTTTAACCATTTTTTTCTATTTGGTTTGATCCAGTTCTAGGTTTAGATTTTTGGTTCCCAGTTTCTAGCATTTTCAATGTATTTATTGGATTAGAAGTAGAAACAAGAAAACAGCTTGAGGTGGTGTTACCTAGATTCCTGGATAGTCGCTTAGTTTAAGCAAAAGACAACCCACAGCAAAAGTAAGCAGTTTAAAAATAACTGTCTTGCCAAAAAAGCTTCCAAACACAACCAAAGAGTAGCCTAGATCTTGATTACACTGAAGAATGCGACCCTTCACCTCCATTATTCAAGATATACAACCGCACAGGAATATCAGAACAGCAGGGAATAGACTCTGATTCCTGTCCTTCCTTTCGCCTACAATGTCCAACCATGCATTGTACAAGCATTTAATTCTAATAAGCATGCTGTCAAAATGTATATGTATATATGTGATGGAGAACTTTAGGTTTATAAAGGATTTTAGAAGAGTTTATTCTTGGCAAAGAAATCTGCAAAAAATCATGAAATAGCTGGCCTAGAAAGAGTTGTGTAAAAAAATGAAGTATTTTGGTCTTTTTAGGTGATGACTTTGGTACCTTTGTATTAAGTGCACTTTTTTTTTTTCTTCTCAGCTGTGATAAGTTTTTTAAAGCTATTTAGTTCTCTTAGAAGTTGCATTTTGGGTTTTCAAAAGACATACAATTTCCTAGAAGTCAAAGGAGGAAGTCTTGGAGGTTATTCTTGGGGATCACTATCTTCATTTATTGTATTCATTATTGTACTAACTACTAAGGTTCCTAAACCCCTATAAATAGTGGAATTTATCAATGGATAAAACAGTTCAGATTTGAATAAACTTGCATCTTCTCTCTTGTAGTCTCTGACACTCCTCTCTTGCTCTTTTGCTCTCTCTTTCCTCTTCTTTCTGTTCTATATCAATACACTGGAAGAGAACCTTTTATGAAGTCCGTATGCATATATATATATATATATATATATATATATATATATATATCTGAAGGTCATTGCACAATAGACCCCAACAAAGTCTGTTGCTTTTAATTCTCCTCTGTCCAGCATCTCCACCATGATTTGGTTGATCCTGGCCTACCTCTAAATATAGGGTTCATAAACAAACTCCAAATTTGCTTGTACTGTAAATTGTTCTACATATGACAGTGTTAGTCTACTTCATATTTTCTCTAGCTAATAGCAATTTTAACTGAGAATTATTTATTTATTTCGAAATGAAATTCTCAGTGATGAATCACAGCCATTGACTTTCAAGCAATTTAAATTGTTGTTTTGCTTTAAACAGGGTTGCTGTTTTTTGTGATCTTATCATGTATCTTTTGAAGCTACAACATTATTCCCCCACTGTGACTTCACTATCTGTGCATTACCATAATTCTAGGCATGCTTGTGTTCTTACATACTTGGTGATACATTTCAAACTTATGACCGAGATAAATAAATAGCAAATGCCTGTGATTTTGCCTGAGATGGTGGCAAGTATCTGTAACATATGTCAGTGATGCTTAAATGTCCACTTCTATTTTCAAGCAAGGAACCTTCTTGTTTCACGACTTTCTTTCTGTCATATTTATGCATCTTTTGTGTTTCAATTTAAGATATTTATGTGATTGTCTACTCAATTTTGTAATCATGCAGATACGTGTGCATCTCCAATGTGCAGGCCATCCTATAGCTAATGACATGCTATACTGTTCTGAGTATGTTCCTTCCCGTTCTGCTAATGGAGTTGGAGCTGATAGAGCTGCCTCAGCGACATGCAAGCCACCAATGTCTAATTCTCATAAAGATTATTCCTTTGCTGAAGATTCTGCCAGTGAAGAATTCAGTATCGATCCTATGTGCACTAATTGTCCAAATTTGCCTCCCAAGGGGTATGGTTTCTCTCATTATATCGGCCATTGCAATATTTTTGTTCCTCGTATCTGTTGTTCTCTTATTTATATGACGCCTACTAGAATGTATGGTTATTTGGTATGATAATTTAATTTAGATTCTTCAGCAACATGCATTTGGTCATCTAGATTTGATGAAGTCCTATTCTCGAATGTTGCATCTGCTATAAATCAACAGAAGTTTAATGAAATGGGAACTACTAAAATATGGATGCAAACAGTCTTACAAAAGTAAATTAGAGAACACCCTGGGTCTTGCTATGAAGCAAGAACTAATCTGACACGCTAATTTTATTCAAATGTGATGTTATTGGAAAAGATGGCCAACAGAAGCAAAGATTAACAAATACTAGTTACTTTGTCGGCAACTGAAAATTGATTCAAAGTATTGTGCTCCCATGCCATAAGTTCTGTCAGCTGATCTGAGCACATGTTGATTCTTTGGTGCTCTCCCTGAGTCTTTTTAACAAATTGCAATTATGTGTTATATTAGATCAATTTTCATTTCCTAATCCTATATTACCAATTACATTGCAAATGATTTCCCTTTCAAGATTTTGCTGGTCTGCATCTGATTATCTGAATGCTCTTTGTTTTGGCCTTGTTGATGTCTTCTTCATATACTTCTCTTACAGGTATGATGAAGATGAGGAGGGTATATGGCTTCATTGTGTCCGGTATTCGGGACCTGGTTGGAGTTACGAATGCCCTTATCCTGATTGGGCTCATCTCTGCTGATTAATTGGGTTATTAGGTGCATAATCTGTCACATAGCATTCGTTATTTCATCAGTTGCCTTATTGCATCATTCTCGTATAGTTTATCTGCAGATCAATTTTCTAATCTCGCAGCTTGGAGTCCTCCCCGTGGACCGGTCTTGCTGAGCCAATGACATTTTTATGTCTTGGGAGGAATGACCACTGCGAACTATGGAAGCGTTTCTCCGATATTCTTATTTATTTTTCCATAATATGTCAACGGATTAGCATACTGTTTGATCTCTCTCTCTCTCTCTCTCTCTCTCTCTCTCTCTCTCTTTCTTTTTCTCCAAAACATTGTATGTTTGGGTGCTCGCAGATAGACTCAGGAATGCAACCCGACAAGAAGTTGTGCGCGACATCAAGCTGCTCGAGGCTGGCAATGCCGCTGATCTCCTCCTGCAGGGTGTCCATAGTCTATTTAGATGTCTCGATTCATTGGGCTCATGAGCTTGGTAAGACTCGACGTTATCTCGCATGCAAATAGATTGTCACCCTTCCATGCAAGTAATATAACCGAAGGTGGTGAACTCCCAAATCTTCTAAACTATGATTCTTAAAGCATCTCCGATTTTTGTATTCAAGTCTTAGATACAAATTGGAACAATGCTGTGCAATAAAAAAAGGCTTGAAAGTGTTTCGGCTATTCGCATGGTTTCTAAATCAGCAACATCTTTCAAAAACATCAGCACTCATTATCACATCCAAATCGTTGTCTGTTTCACTTAATTCAGTATTCACATTAAACCTGTAGGCTTTGACTCAACGACCCTTCGCTGCTTCTATTGAGCCTACGATGTTTTAGTTGTAGAATCTTGCGACCAAGGTTTATAATATCGAATTGTACTGCTTGGTACGGGCGGTATGTATCGGTTCGATAAGTTATTAGTGCATGGATCGTCCGTTATCGGGCGGTACGTTTAAAAAAATCTTGTATCGGACGATACGGGGTAATATCGGGTGGTAACGGTCGAAATTTTGATCGTTATCATTTGGCACAACTCGGTAATGATTGATTTCGATCGTTATCGCTCGATACAATTCGGTAACGATCGATCGCACTATAATAGTGATATGCTCTCTAACGGTCAATTTGACCATTGGAACCCTTTCTCATTATATTTAAGTCATTTTCTCTCCCCTATTTCATTATACTCTTTTAAACTCTTTTTCAAATCATTTTTTTTCTCCTAAATTTTGAATTAATTGAATTATGATTTATAAAACAATGATTTATGAATTAATCGAAATTTGGGAAGATTAAAAGGAAGAACTTTCTAATCAAGATGTATGTATTCATTTTCTTTAATTAGAGAGTAATTAAGATCTTTAAGATTATGATTAGTATGTTTCATGCATATTAAATATTGAATAATATTTATGATAGTAAAATAAGTTTAATTAAGTTTTATTAAAATTATTTAATGCTACGATTAGTTATTTTATTGATGATTTAATCGAAATTTATTTAATTTTATATCAATTCAATGGTTTTAATACCTATTATGGTATTTGTCATTTTTATAGTGTTGAAAGAGAAGTAATTAGTGAAAAATTAATTATGTTAATCGTATAATTAGTGTAGATAAATGATGATTTTATCATAATTTAAATCATATTGGATTAAAATTACGTATTTAATGTTTCCGTGTTTGACATATATATGATGGTAAAATAAGTTTAATTATGTTTTATTAAAGTTATTTAATATCGTGATTAGTTATTTTAATGATGATTTAATCAAAATTTGTTCGATTTTATGTTAATCTAATATCTTTAATACCTATTAGGGTGTTTGCCATATTTATAGTATTGAAAGAGAAGTAATTAGTAAAAATTAACTATATTAATCGTGTAATTAGTGTATTTAATGATTTTAATATTTTTTTATGCATGTAACATATTTATGATGATAAAATATGATTAGTTATGTTTTAATAAAATTATTTAATATTGCGATTAGTGATTTATGATCGATATTTGATCAATTTAATATGTTTATATTTTATAGTTTATTTGATTTAAATTTGGTAGGATCATGGCACCAAAGGAACAACCACATGATGATGCATGAGTTCATTCCCGAAAGATAAATGAAAATCGTCATCATTGGCAATGTATTTATTGTGACTACATTGACAAGGGTGGAGGAATAACTCGGGTGAAAATGTATTTGGCTGGTAGGTATCCTGATGTTGCAAAATGCAAGAATGTTTCAACGGAGATCCGTAAATTATTTCAAAGCAAGCTTAAACAAGCAAAGGAAGATATATTAAAAAAGAAGGCAAGAGTTGAGGAATAATATCATAGGGCTACACAGGAACCAGTTTATGATTAGTATGAGGGTTGCGGCGATTAAGTCGACCCAGATCTCACAGTTGAGATTCGTGCATCATTGGAGCATCAGTATACGATTGATGAAGCAATGAGGCATCGATGACATGACTCACAATTGGAGCATGGCAGTGGTAGTGGAATCCAAAGGTCAACCAGGCATGAGGCAACCAACTGTTCCTTCTTAGTTAGGCCGAACTAGTAGCATGAGGTATGGTGGACTACATGGTTTTATGAGAGGTCTTGGCTAGAGGTCCGCACCAGATATTGTTGATATTGATCCGCAAGCCTATCCCCTACAAACAACGAAACAGACACGAATTGACGATGCATACACAAAAAAAAAAACAATTGGATATTGGGAAGGCAATCTTAAAATGGTTCAACTTCCACAGGATTTCAACTAACACAGCCCAAGGTCCATATTACCAGAGCATGGTCTCTTCTATTCAAAAGTCTAGCACGGGGATCCAACCTCCAACACCAAAAGAGATTTACGGCGTGTTCTTAGATGAGGAGGTTGCAGAACTAAAGGATTGGATCAAATCCTTCAAGAGGCAATGAGACGAATATGAGGTGACATTGATGTGTAACAGTTGGATAGAATCAACAAGAATGAGTATCATAAACTTTCTTATTTATTACAATAGAAGAATGGTGTTTCATAAGTCCGTTAATGCTTCTGAAAAAATCCAAGATGCAAACTACATTGAGAGCTTGATAGACACTATGGTAGAGAAGATTGGACCATAGTATGTTATCCAAATAATAATCGACAATGAAGTAAATTTCAAAAAGGCCGGTTTGCAATTGATGGAAAAAAGAAAAACTTTGTTTTGGACTCCATGTGCAGCTCATTGGTGAGTTGGATGTGTAAGCATAAAGATATGTAATTATGCTATATCAATAATGCGGAAATAACCTAAATGCCAGGATTGAAATCAATGCATAGATCTATACGATGCGTACCATTTGATGCCATATGTTCAGAGATCCTGTAGATCTGCTAAGCACCGTCTTTAATCCAAGATTGCTGCAGGCTCCGTCTTTAATCCGATCGCGCTGCGGAATCTGTAGGGAGTGCGGAGAGTAGACCCTTTCTCCTCTCTTCCTATCCTTTCACAGGATCCACACAGATTGATGGATTTGGGGAGAGGGTTTTGGGGAGAGAGTCGAGGAGAATAACTGAATCCCTCAACGGAGAGGTACGTCTATACGTGTCAACGTTATGACGCTCTAACACACTAACACACCCTCAACCCCTAGAGATCCTGTCCTTTTATAGGCGAGAGCAGAGGGTCTACGATGAGATCTCAGAAGATTTCCTCATATCTCCGAGGAATCGTTCCGTAGTGGACTTAGTCTTGGCTAAAATATTTGAACGAAACCCAATTAGTTATTCTATTATATATCTTATTCAATTATAAAAGGGCCACATATTCTAACATTCTCCCACTTGGCCCATTAATTGATAAGATATAAAAGAGATACAAAATCAAAACAAACAAAACAAAATTTGTTTAAAAACAATTTTACCTAATTGAATTCCAAGAAATTTTGAAAAGCATTTTATACATGGCCATGTTTTAAAAATAAGCCAATAAGTCCAATAAACACAATAATACTATATTAAGTCCAACTATCAATGCGAATCATAGCGGTTGTATTTTCATCAATGTCATACTCCCTTCTATGTACCACAACATTGTTAGTCTTTCCTAACATAGTCCATAATGACCCCTGTAATTTGTCTTGTCAAGACAATCATGTTATTACATTCAACCATAATATGCATAAACATAAATGTAAACAGGATAGCAGAAACAGATAACTTTAATTAAGTAAAATGTCAATAATAGCATCCATATAAACATGCATCACCATATCTTTTATGACTTGCTCACAAGCCCCATTCTAAGAACATGTTCTTTGAATATTTTGCACTGTAAGGCTTTTGTCAATGGATCAGCAATCATCATAGTGGTGCTTAAGTTCTCAATTGACACTTGCTGTTTCTGGACTCTTTCTCTAACCACCAAGTACTTTATCTCAATGTGCTTGGAACCACTAGAGTACTTGCCATTCTTAGAGAAGAAAACTGCTGCGGTGTTATCACAAAATATCTTCAGCGGCTTGGCAATTGAGTCGACCACACCAAGTCCTGAGATAAAATTTCACAGCCATAAAGCTTGATTTGTGACCTCAAAGCATGCTACAAATTCAGCTTCCATTGTTGATGATGCAATAAGCGATTGCTTTGCACTTTTCCAAGAAATTGCCCCACTAGCTAACATAAATACAAATTCTGAAGTGGACTTCCTACTGTCGAGGCAATTTGCAAAATCAGCATCTGAATATCTAGTTACTTCAAGCTGATCAGATCTCCTGTATGTGAGCATATAATCTTTTGTCCCTTGTAGATATCTCATTACTTTCTTTACAGCTTTCCAATGTTCCATTCCTGGGTTGCTTTGATATCTTCCCAACATTACAACTGCAAAACTGATATCTGGTCTTGTACAGGTTTGAGCATATAATAGACTTCCAACTGCGCATCCATAAGGAATATTCTTCATTTGATTCTTTTCTAACTCATTTCTTGGGCACTGGTTTTGACTGAATTTTTCACCTTTAGTAATAGGTACATCATTGGTTGAGCAAAGCTGCATATTAAATCTCTCCAAGATACGATCAATATATCCTTTCTGAGACAATCCTAATAATCCTTGAGATCTATCTCTAAATATCTCAATGCCAATAACATAGGATGCCTCATTCATATCAACCATCTTAAAGTTCTTGTTGAGAAATATCTTGGTTTCGTGCAATAAACTAAGATCACTACTGGCAAGTAAAATATCATCCACATATAAGACCAATATAATAAACTTGCTCCCACTTACCTTCAGGTATATACACTGATCAACAGTATTTTCCTTAAATCCGAAGGAAGTAATGGTATTATGAAACTTTATATACCATTGTCTGGAAGCTTGTTTAAGGCCATAAATGGATTTCTTAAGTTTACAAGCCCAACTTTCTTTTCCCTTTTCTATGAATCCTTCGGGTTGTTCCATATAGATTTCCTCATCTAGATCCCCGTTCAGAAATGTTGTTTTCATATCCATCTGATGCAACTCAAGATCATAATGAGCTACTAATGCCATAACGATTCTCAATGAGTCCTTTTTAGAAACAGGAGAAAAAGTCTCATTATAGTCGATGCCTTCCTTTTGAGAAAAACCTTTGGCCACAAGTCTAGCTTTATATCGT